ATGTATGCGTGCACTCTGTAGGTGTTTTGTTTGCTTTTCGCGATATACTCGATAATATCAAATCACACATCGTTAGAACAACAATTATGATAATATCGCACACCCCTATTCTGTTTAGATTTTTATAATGCACTGTCTTCTTACCGATCCACCAGTTCACATTTAAAGCTCTGCGTGTTTGCAGGGTAAAAACATGGGTCGATTTTTGCATTTGTCTGAACTCTGAAAAAAACATCAGTTTTATTGAAAATGCTCATTCATTCTGACAGCAGGTGGAGTGTTTGGTAGAAATATAACCGTTTCCACGGTAACAGCGGTACACAAAGCAGAGCAGCACTGGACTTTGAACGTGCAGCGCTCATGTTTATTTAATGACATCATAGCCTTTTTAAGTTTAATCGTCACATACAGCCATATCGCAATTCTGGTCTTTCCGTCCCCAAATTTAAGACCTCTTTAAATCATAATTAAGACTTTCTTGTACAATTTAAGACTTTTTAAGACCTTAAATTTAATACAACTAAATTTAAGATTTTTTAAGACTTTTTTTAAGACCCGCGGAAACCCTGAACAAATACGGGAAGACTCACTTTAGTGGCTTTCTTCATGAACTTGGCATTGTCTTTCTCGATGTCGTGCCAGGATCTAATAGGTGTTTTCAGTTCATCTCCTACCACCATACCCGGACCCTGAGTGGCGGGCCCACCGATGAATGCCATGATGCGAGCGCCAGTGTTAGGGAAAGTGCACTACAAGAGGGAGGGAAACAATTAATAAGCACAAAGCTTTGGACACCCCTTAATGAATTTATGCATTTTATGATCTCAAAAACCTTTTGAGCCATGCTTAAGGCTTCTGCTTAAATGCTTAAAATTAGTACACCTGCATACAAAGTAAAAAAAAAAAAAGCTAAATTTTTCATTACAAAATATGCATTTTGAGCAGAATAGTGAATGAAAAGCAGTCAATGAGTATCCAGTATACATTGGAAACTGCTTCAATGCGGTTTAAAAAGCATCCCAGGATAAACTTCATTATGTTGAGTTTTTGAGCACATCCAGAATGTGCAAAACTACTTTGAAGAAACTATACGTTTTGATCACAATATAATTCCCATATTTCTATTTGTGTTACTTCATTGATTTAATGCCTTTATTGTTAGTCTAAACAAAGTATGGAAAATAGTAATAATAAAGAACAAAAAGACATGTCCAAACTGGTATAATTTAGTAACTGCAGCTGGTAGCAAAGCGGCCATGACAGCAGACCACGACTGAAGATAATAACATAAATCATGACAGTCACCTCTAACAGACCAACGGCAATGGAAACAGCCACTCCGAGTGATCTCAGTGGTCGTTTTCCTTGAGTCACAGGCCAGGGGTCTCTCTGCAGCTCTCCCAGCAAATCTGTCAGATTCATATCTATCTTCTGTACTGGCTGCAGAAACCTGACCACACATATAATCAGTGACCACCATAAATCACACTGTCTTCGTTCATATAGGTTTGTTTAACTGGTCCCCAGACTGAGGCTGGTTTCCCAAGATTTTTTCTCCACTACTGCCACCTGATGGAGTTTTGGTTCCTTGTCAGTGTTGCCTTTGGCTTGCTTAATCAGGGTTTAAAATACACTTCAGAGAACAAAACTTGAAATGAATTGTTCTGGATGACAACACTATTGTCTTCTGTAGAGATTCTTTATAACTGAATTAAATTTGGTTCATAATGGATGGATTCTGCAACTTCGACACTGTTATTAGACTGAATTGAATCAACATTGAACTTGAGCGGAATAATGACACTGTTGTCTTCTTCAGAGCTGCTTATAGCTGAATTCGTTTTATAATTGATGAATTTGACATAGTTATTAAACTGAAATGACTTGAGCTGAACAAGGACACTAGAGCTGGTTTACAGCAGAATTTGAATTTGTCTCATATTTCATAAAGTTTGCATCATTGATTCTGTTATCACTGTTTATCAATCTGAAGCTGCTTTGACACAATCTATAATGTATAAAGCAATATATAAATAAAACTGACTTGACTCGACAACTTCAGGGATAGATTAAAAATATCAGAATTTGATTATGCAAATTATTCGTTTATACAGTCCGAAGATTTACATTTGCAAAGCAGCTATAAAAACATATTTAGCTCACCTGTTTGAAGGAGGAACCGGAGGCTGTTGTGGCCCTCGGCCTGCTTGTGCTGCAGCGGGTTTAGTTAACCCAAGCATCTCCTGTACACAAGATTTATCAAATTAAAATATTGTATATTAAGAGACATTTGTGCCAACTAGTTTAGTCAAACAGCTGTATCTTAAATTATCTTGAACTACCTGAAGCTGTTTAGCACTGAGGTCTTTGGTGCCCCTGAAGACATAGCTCTTAGAGATGCCTTCACAGCCCAGCTCGTGAACCTGGACCATGCGTCCAAACGTAATGAGGCCCACCAGAGCAGTGGGAGGCAGCAGGCTTAGGGACATCTGAAGCGACTCCTTCAGCGCCTGCAGATCATCATCTTCCATGCATGTGTCCACCACATACAGGAAGTTCAGGGGCATCTGTGGACCACGCTATAGAAAAGAAACAGAATCAACGAATGAAACTTGTGATCATCATCTCAATCCTTCTGATAGATCAGTAACTATTTCTTATGTATCCAGTTTTAGTGTTCAGTACTTATATGGCCATGAAAGGTGGATAATTAAAAGCTTTACCTGGACAACATATTCAATAGTGGAGAACTGTGGAAGAAGCTCAGCAGGCTGGTTGACCGCAGATATTCCAGCGTAAGTTGGTGGGAACTATGACAGGACATGGATATTGTTTTTGCCATTAATTAATTGACACTTTAAAAAAAAAAATGCAATGCACTTTTCTTGAGCTGCAACCATTAACTGATAAAATAAATAATAAAAATAATCAAAAACGAATATGATTATCGATTAATGGCATCTGTGCACTCTGCATATAAAACACCACTTTTCAAATATCACTTTACAGGAGTCACTTTACAAACAACACTTTATAGTGCGAGTGAATAAAAGTGCATGACCCAACTTGTCACGAACATAAGAATGCGTCATATTAAGTATTTCAAACAAAAGCATATTTTTTAAATTTGCTTGCCCTGTCAGGCTCTCTGGCAGATGTGTGTGCTGTTGCATTTGAAATGTGTTTTCCCTCACAGTTTTATCCTTATCTGTCATGCAATTATTTCAATTTTTGCATAAAGGCTCATCCTGACAGCAAGCGAGTATCCGTTAAACTTCACACACTTCAGTGAATGAGCATCGACACACATGCGCATCAAACAGACAGAGCGCCATAATTCTAAAATATACATTTTACTAAAAATACTTCTTGTTAGACATTAAATGTAAGTTTAAAATTTTAGATGAAATTTTATTTTTCATGAGCAGAAACAGTAAAGGGACTACTGTAATGGAGTATAAATATAATATGTTCACATGAGTGAATGTGTGTTCCTCTTACCTTGTACAAGTCAACATTTAGGATGCGCTTTTTCTTTATCATTTTTAATTTATTAATTTCAAATGGTAAACAATCTGTTCAAATGTAACCCCTTTTTTGCATATAATGTTTAATTTTGAGCCTACATACAGTGGGTACAGAAAGTATTCAGACCCCCTTCAATTTTTCACTCTTTGTTATATTGCAGC